CTACATAGAAATGGAAAGTTTCCAATTGGAAAGCTAAAATCATCTCTTTTGACGTAAAGTTTTGTTTTCAACCGACCCTCATTGTCAATTTCTAGATGTAAGTCAAGATATGAGGCAGACCCAACTGTATCTGTTATGATCCTTTATTGTAATTTCGATGGGATATATGCGTTCAACATAGTCTCCAAACTTTGAATTATTTAGTGAGAGGACATCATCTTTATACCGGAAAGTGGAGTTAAAGGATAATAGATATAAGAAGATGTGGTATGAGTGTTAATGAGACAACTCTCCATCCAAGTCACAATTTGTAAAAGTAAACCATTATAGGTCAAAGTACGGCCTTATTCCATCTTCCTTTCATTCTCCATAAGACGCTCCTGTATGAAACCAGCCTCATATGAATTAAGGAACAAGGCGGCAAGAAGCCACAGTTGGTTCCAATAGGAATTCCGATTTTTTGTTGAAAAACACGTCCTTCAAACGTAACACATATGTTGTTAATCAAGATATCAAGCATCTTGATAATGTCAGTTTCAGAGAATTTTTTTTGTCTGAATCAGATTAACTTTTTACGAAACACGGTTTTTATTCCTCCCTAAGAAAAGATACGTGTTTCTACGTTGGCCATTCTTTTTTTATGAAACAAAGTAGGACCAACTCTTTCAATTTGTCCTATAATACAATGATTATATTATAAAACATGCAAGTTTTTAGTGAAAATACACAATACACAAAGAAATAAAGTAAAAAAATATGAGCAATGTAGGATATGTTATTACAGTATGAAGAATTTAGTGTAATGAGGTCGGTTTTATATAATGAAAAAAAAAAAATAAAAAAATTTAGATACAAAATTTAATAACAGGAAATAATAGAACCAGAAATATAGTTTCTCATTTTGTAGTAGTTCTCCTCATGACCAGTGCACAGCAGCGAGGAACTTTACATCACGACAATGCAGAGGTAATCAAGGGGAGTTTCATTCAGAACTAACTACAGATATTATGAGATTATCCCCAATAGTGGTTCTCATCATGACTAATGCACAGCAACAAGGGGTTGACATTGCTACTGTGCAAGATTCATCAAGGGACGTAACTCTAGGACTCACTACAGGGAAATTATAAAAGTTCAAATTACAAGAAGAGGGAGATTAATCCCATCAAAACTTTTCATATTTCTTAATGAATATGCACAATTCTGATAACAATTTCTCATCTTCATTATTCATTAACCATATCGGTTTTTTAGTGGGGTTTAGATTTTTAAAATTCTTGCAGCAATTATTTATCATTGTTATCATATCTTTTCGTTGGTCAGATAGACTATCAAAGTTAAAAGGAAAATTTATTTCGTCTTCGACCTCATTACTACAACATCTTTTACATACTCTATTGGGTCGGGGAGTATTATGATATCTATCTCTCTCTATAAGTAAATGGTGTGCAGATATGCGAAATCTTGGTAAACTCTGTCTTTCTTCAAATTTTTTAACAATATGAAGATATTTTTCGCAACGAAAATTGGATTTAAAAGTAACATATGTTCATAGTTTCCCTTCTGAGTGATTTTTGAGATTTTTTCCCAATCTTTCAATATGGCAATTTCAAGATTTCTGTTGTCAATTGGTTTATCCCTGTCAGAGGATGTTGGACAATTATTGATCAGTGAAAAAAGTTTCTCAGACGACATATACCACGACGGTTTCTTTGACTCATACAATTTCTAAGATTCTAAAAAGGCATTGTATAAAAAATTCATGAGTCCGAAGCACTCTTCTGGATTTTATTTCATCAGGAACGCTCAAAACAAAATATTTGAAAGCCAAGGATGTTTAAGAACCGTAACAGTTGAAAAGCTATATGACAAAAAAGGAGATAAAAATAATAGCCAACTCCATCTAAGATCAACTATGCCTGATGGAGCTGAAATCTTAGTTTCTTAATAGTTTCTAAAACGGGCAATTTAAGAAACGTAGGGTTTGTTATAGATCATGCCAGTACCAAAGTATTGACTACTGCGCTGATGATGCCCTCGGACTGATAGTCAACCAGCAGCAGTATCGACCCAGTCAGGCAGTGCTGTAAAAAATATAAAACAATACATTAAACGTTATGCGTCCGAAGCGCTTATCTTGATTTACTTTAAAAGTGTGAACAAATTGAATTGAAGAGTTCAAAATAAAATATATAATTCAAACCATTTCTTGCGCACATAAAGTCATCAAAATTTTCTATATTATTCTACAGTTTATAAAATTTTCTTAGTAGGACCTCTTTTGAAAGAGCAATTGGTAGCAGTGAAAAAGCTTAGAAGGCAGAATAAAAGAAAATATAAAGATATAAAAAAAATCAGAGCTATGATGAACAAAACCGAAGAAATCTTTGAGAGATTATATGGACAGTTTAATAGAAATATCAGAAATGCTTAGCTATTTGTTTCCCTGTGAAATTATGGAGGAGCATACGAACAGTTAATTAAGAAAAATCCCCTTAAATGATTGTAACGAAGACCTTTGATCAACTTATATCCCAAAGTGCAACCAACCTACCAGTTTATATTGAGTCACCTCATGCAAAGAAGGCCACTACACTACCGGTATATATATGTATATCTGAAAACCTTGTTTACACTACATCCGAAATTATGTATAGAGCCATGCAGTCACGGACAGGACCGCCTATAGTTGTTAGAACAGCCACAGTTGAAACGGTTCCTTTTTAGTTGATATAACTTTATTGATAATGACCATGCATGGATAAATCCGTATTGGTTATGAATTTACCGATAAAATACCCTTACCTTTTTGATAGTTCAAAATCTTTACGTATAAAGAAATATTGATGTTAATTACTATTTTATCTTCATTGTTTCACGAAATACGTATAGTGGGTTATGTTTTTTTTAAAAGGACACACCTTTCTACTTGAATCGAAAGCAACCTTTTTTTCCAAAACTTTTTTTCCAAAACTTTTTTTCCAGCTCCCCTCTGAAACAAACGACTTTTTTTTAAACAACATGCCCCCTCACAAAAGATGAATGGCTGGTGTGTATTGTTGACATAAAATTTTCCAAATGCTGTGAATTTAATAATAGATTAAGAAACATATATACTTTTTTTATGTACAAATAAAAGGCATGTTCTGTATATTTAAAAAGACATTCCACAAACATTATGCACGGTTGCCTATAATTGCTTACATCCACTTCATTTGAACTTTGGTGGATACTTTTCTCATTGGCAATCTAACCACATCTCCTTATTTTTATATGGTCTCCAAATCTTTCATTTGAAAAGAAATAACTGTCACTGACATGACCCAGGGTTATGAAATCCAACAGAGAAAATAAAAGTGAATCAAGTGTTTCCAACTACATAGAATAGTTTTTTTTAAGATCAAGCTATTTAGAGTTTGATATACTGGTTAGATTTATGAATTCTTGTTTGAAGACTTAATATCGTCTCTGAACTTGACATTGAGAATACTATTGAAAATAGGTCTGCTTCATATCTACATCCTTTTCTTGAAATTGACAGAAGTGGACGACTTTAAACTAGGATCTTTGACAAACGTGAAGATTTTTGTTTTCTTATTGTAAACTTCCCATACCTCAGTAGTCACATGTTATAAATAAATGAATAATCATCGATTAGAAAACTTTCAAATACACGTTTTTAGAGTAGCTAATTTCTTTCTAGTACCATGTTTGATGATTTAAAATATGATTGGAACAGTAGTATCATAATTTTGGAAAATGTTTATTTTTTGCAAAACATGAAAAAAACAACTTTGCATTTTTTTTTAAAAACAGATTTTTGTGGTTTATAACGGGTTCTTTATGATATGCATATCATAATACTCAGCTTTCTTTCGTGTTGTATGACAGGCAAAATGGACTGCTTTATTTCAATATTAGAATAAATCCCCCATACTATTGCTGGGAAATATGCATTAAATTCTAAATATTCTGAGAACTAAATTGTCAGATTTTTTTTTAAATGTCAATGTATGGGGGTTTTGTTTCTAGCTCTTTTCAATTATGACTATCGCAAAAGAAATATAAATATCTATAGCTTTTCGCATTTTGAGATTGAACAGTTCAAGTTTTGTTTAACCTGATTATAATCCCTTTTTGTACTTTTGATATAAAGTTTGATAGTATTTGGGTCCAAATTTAAATAGAAAAATTGGGTTGATACATTTAACCATCTTACCGTGAATGTTGACCCTGTTACCCAGCTTTACTGATGGTTTTTCTCTACTTTTTTATACTATGTATAGACTAATGAGTCAGATTAGTTAACAATAAGGTTAAGAAATTTAATAGGTGGAGTCTGATTTTTTACAGAAGTACAGAGGCCGGGCTCTGTTGCAGGGTCTCAGACTTTTATATAGACGGGCCAAGCTACAATCGATTGTTTTTTATTCAAATGATATGTCTTCCATGTTTTGAAACATTTAAACTCAATAAAAAGAATGAAAGTTTGTACTTTGTTGCATTCATTTTCTTTTTTTTTTAATTTACATGTGATGATAATGATTTAATAATTTGGCCTTCTTTTACTTTAGGTCCCAATTTACTGTGACCCCTGTAGAGCTATACTAAACCAAGCCTAACCCTAAACCTAAACCTAACCATTACCCATGTCTAACCCTTACACTAGCCATTACCTTAAACCTTACCATAACATTGAAAAATTAATACTCACCTAATTCTTACCATAAATGAACCAATACACTAAAAGACAGGGACCCCTAAAATAAAAGACCAATAATTTAGACCGTTGGTGTTTGTGTTTACTGCTAATGCACTTTCGGTTTTATGTCATCTCTTAAAATGCTCACATCACCACAAATAAATAGAATTCATTTCTTTTGAAAAGGATTTTTTGACACTTTTAAATACAAGACCTGCTTCTTTTCAAATATTGTAAATTATTGAAAGTTTACTATTACTGTAACTGTCATTTGTGTGGATGGCCTTTCTGTTTTCATTGATGTAAGGGTCGTGTTTTGAGATGGAGAAACTGCAAAAACCGTCAGACCCGTCAGATAATATTCGGCGAAGATTTACTAAACAACGGATGACAACCTCTGAAAATGAAGTTAAAGAAACCAAAAAAGACACAAATGATTCTACCAACAAGAAGATAATGACAAAAGATAGTTTTGGTTATGGTTCATACTGGTTAACTCGAATTCTCATGTTGCGTTATATTGGATTTATTTATTGTAAGTTGTAACATTAAATCATAGAAAACTTGACTTTATTTAAATGATCGTAGCCGTACCATGGAAAATCAATGCAGACACATTTTCAAATTTTTTATCTTTTGGAGAATATACACACAAAAAATCAGCAAAACAAAAAATCAATATAAAAAACCAAAATTATCAAACTTTTTTTCTAACAGTTGTGTTTTGCGAGGTATCGGGTCCGTTTGCGCCCAATACACGTTCACACCCCACACTTTCGCCCCTGGGTCCGTTGGCACCCTACACGTTCACACCTTTTTTTTTTATTAAAAACCTGATGAATTATTAGATGTTTTTAAGATGTTTATATCAAAATATTTTTATTTTCATAAATTCAGGAATTTTGAAATGAAATATTGTTTTAAATTGATTTGATGATTAGTTATTATATGTTAATTATGTATGATCATGATGATTACTGTTAATCATGTTAATATGGTGTTTACACAGCTAAACTTGGTGTTATTGTTATGTGTTTGAAAATCGTGATTGTTGTTTTAACTAGCTTTGATGTAAATTCTGCATGTAGTTAGCATGTATTTAGCTTGGTTTATTTTTTAATGAGAAAAAACAATAAAGATTCAAAATGTTATTTGTGTTGAGTTTAATAGCGGTTTGGTATCTTAACATTAAAAAATATTCAACACAATAAACCTTTATAGAAAGTCACTTTATTTTGAAACAATGAAATTTTTTTTATAGCAATACACTAACCAAAACACGATTAAAAAAATATTCAACACAAAAACCATCACTTTTTTTTGAAACAATGAAAAATACTTATTTATACTTATACATGTTATAGCAATACAATACCCAAAACACGATTAAAAAATTATTCAAAACAAAAATCGTTTTTAGAAAGGCACTTCATTTTGAAACAATGAACAAAAAAATATATTTTTAGCAATACACTAACCAAAAATTATTTAACACAAAACCAATAAAAAGGGTGCGAACGTGTAGGGTGCGAACGTGATTTTTGGGCGAACGGACACAGATCGGTTTGCCCATTACCCTGTTCTTGTTCTGTTTACAACCACTGCCATGTTGTAAGTCAACAATAACAACAATAAGTTTGAAATAAATTAGCAATACAGACTTTGTCCTATTTCACAGGTAACACCTGCCTCATATTATCTTTTTGTCTGTATGTAACTAAGGTTTATATAAAGTTACATTTGTACTTGTCAACATACATACATGTATTTGTCGACTTGTAACAATGAGAAATCATGTCATGTCATAACGTTACGTATGAAGTAAACTGCATGCCATGTCAGATTAATTGAAAAAAAATAAATTTGCTGACCTCCCCTCTATCATTTCTATTTTCATCTGAAAAATCTGAAGAACAATCCTTTGTTTTGATGTAGCCTTAATAGATGTTTTCACTATTCATAAAAGTATAATTTCATAGACAATGAAAACAGATATCATTTGACTGTTATTTTCATACAATTGCATATTTACAAACCCCTAGGGAGCAATTTATGATGGTCTTGCACAATTACTTACCATCTGTGGGCATTAAATTTCTCTGTTTAGCTCTTAAGATGAAAGCTTGAACTCATTATTGAAAAATAGTAAGCAATTGCAAACCAGCATGACCAGAACAAATGATTGAGCATGCTTAATTTTGATTTCAAACTTTGAGAATTTCAGGGGTTGTAAATAAATGAATAGCTTTAAAGAGGTAGAAGATAACAAAGGGGCATTAAAATCACTGCAATTTTATTTTAGTAAAAACAAACAACACCATGGTCAAAACTATGAAAATTTAATCAACAGTACACAAAACATTACAGTTTAAATAAAGATAGAGCAACACCCCACCATGAAAAGGTTGAACTAAGATGCTCCAGAAGAATAAGCAGTGACTGCCCAATGGTGTCACCCGTTGTGTTAAGCAATAAACCTTTTCTATATCCATGACACAAGTGTCCCCTATATTTGTTCAACATTTCTGTTTTAATATTTGATTTAGGATTTTTCACACGTGAGTAAGAATCTGCCACTTTACAAAAATTTACCCATACATTTGGAATGCCTCATATTTTGCTGATAACACAACTCTTTGCTAGATTTCGTTCTATTCAGTTATTTTCTGTCAGTTTTGAAAATGTTGACTTGAAAGAAGGATGTTTTTATACTTGGCATTGTCAGAGAGGGCATAATTTATTACTTAGAATGTTCCAATGCTTTCTTCATAACAACTTGATTGCAACAAAGAAAACATCCTGATGTGTCATGAGGGTAATTTATAAGATCTATAACAATAGTAACATTGTAGTATTGTTGCTAATAGTATTCATTGTTATGCATTTGTAACGGGTATTAGTACATGTATATAGTAAAGTATCATAATACATTTTTCTTCACAGTTGTAGCTTTCCTGGTTGCTCTACACCAGAACAAAGAATTAATTGGAAGCAAAGGTTTACTTCCAGCAAGTAATTTCCTCAACAAAGTTAAGAAATCAACAGGTGGTATAAATTTGGACACATATACTTGGATTCCAAGTCTGATTTGGATGATTGACTTTGATACAGATTTGGACTGGTTTCTGGACATTGTTGCTTATGTTGGCCTTGTCTTGTCGTCAGTTGTGATATTAAATGGAGGAGCAAATTGGTTAATAATGGTGACATTATGGATATTGTATCATTCCATTGTCAACATTGGCAGCACATGGTTAGTATCAAATTTATTGATATAGTATGGTAAGGTATATTTAAAGTCCTGAATGGCTTTTTTAGGTTATTTCCTTTTCTGTATTCTGTGTTATTATTACATTGTGTACTTATATAAGGGTTATACAAGGAGTCTTTGAATAGGTATTTATGAACACTGGGTGGTACTGTTAAAATCATACCACTTCTAATTTATATGTATTGAATAAATCATGTATGACTTGTTTCTCACCTATTGTGGATTGTAATCTTCAAACCATAGATGTAGAATCCCCTAGATGATTTTCCTTTGAAATTCAATGTAATTTGAGTTAAGAGTTATTTCCCTTGGCCACCATGATGGAGGTCAAACTGGTGGATTTTCTTATTTGACCTACCAAATTTAAATACATATATGTACCAGACAGTGATCATGTGGTACACGTAAGCCAGATAAAAGATCCATTATTTGTCCTGATGAATTTCTTAAGGCTTAGACAAGTGAATATTGTTTAGAAATTAGTTTTATTGCAAGTCTAGCTGTCAGTAAAACAAGTTAAATATACGAATTTACGTTGCTCTCCAACATGCTGGTAAAGGGAAATAACTCAAATTTTATCAATGGAAAACTATTTACACTGTGCATGTACATTTATAACACCCAGAGAGTTTTAATTATCAGTAGTTTTATAATTAATTGTATTGAACACAAGGAAATAAGAATCTTGACTACATCAAAGTTTGATAGTTTTAATATAGTTCAGAAATTCAGGCATGGCCAGTCTAAAGTGATCTGACTTGTTTTTATGATCAGATCATTATGTTAATTATATTATGGTAATGGAAGTAAAAAAATATACAAATTCAGTTAAAACATAGAATAAGGTAAAATTTGTGTGGGACTTAGTTTCTTTATTCTTTAAATTTTTAGGCCATTTTTTTCTATTAAATTTTTAGGCCATTTTTTTCTATTAAATTTTTAGGCCATTTTTATGCCCCCACCGTAGCGGTGGGGGCATTAGGTTTTACCCTTGTCCGTTTGTACGTACGTAAGTACGTCCCAAAATTGGTTTTCGTTCTCTAACTTGAGTTTGCCTCAACCAAATGTTATGAAACTTATACACAATGCTTATTACCACAAAACACAGATCAAGTTTGAATTTTGGTGGCGTCACTTTAACTGTTCTAGAGTTATGCCCCTTTATAAATGGAAAAATTGCAAAATTTTTAGTTTCCGTTCTTTAACTTAAGTTTGCCTCAACCAAATGTTATGAAACTTATACACAATGCTTATTACCACAAAACACAGATCAAGTGTGAATTTTGGTGGCGTCACTTTAACTGTTCTAGAGATATGCCCCTTTATAAATGGAAAAATTGCAAAATTTTTATTTTCTTCTAAATATCAAGTCATTTTTATACGACCGCTGAAAAATTTTTGCGTCGTATATTGGTATGACATTGGCGTCGTCGTCGTCCGAAGACACATTGGTTTTCGCACTCTAACTTTAGTTTAAGTGAATGGATCTCTTTGAAATTTTACCATAAGGTTCAATACCACAAAAGGAAGTTGGGAATTGATTTTGGGGGTTATGGTACCAACAGTTAAGGAAAAAGGGGCCAAAAATAAGCATTTTCTAGTTTCCAGACAATAACTGTGGAACGGTGTATGAATCTCTCTCTGAAATTATACTACAAGTTTCATACCACAAAGGGATGGTTAGGATATGCTTTGGGGTGGTTATGGCTCAATCCTTTTAGGAATTAGGGGCAAAAAAGGGGGAAAACAAGGTTGTCCTGGTTAATGGACAAATATTTATTACAAAACATAATTTAAAGCAGTGTAAGGGAGATAAATCAAATACATCATTGAAATTATTTCCCTTACACTGCTTTTAAATTATGTATAAAGTAATGGTTAATGAACAATTAAGATAATTTAAAACAGTGTAAGGGAGGTAATCCAAATACAACCTTTTGGTTACTTCCCTTACACTGCTTTTAAATTATGTTTAAAGAAATGCACATTTATAAAGGAAGACCAGTAAAAATATCTGCAAATGTTTCATCTTTTTTTTTTACAAAAAAATCCATATGAAAGATTTGACACTATATTTTAAATTCTATTATAAAATAGATTAAGTTAGCACTTTGGTAAATTTAAATAGGTAATTATGGTGGCAAACTCCATTGGAAATTTGAATTGAGATTATGACCATATCTTGAGGGAAAGAATTTTTTGGGGAAAAAAAGGGGGGGGGGGGGGTAAAAAGAAATTGTGGGGTTTCAGATTTCAGAAATTAAAAAGAATTATTCTTCAAATATTATTTTTTTTTCAAATTTCAAATATTGAAAAATTTCAAGAAGTAATCTTTAATTGCAAAGTATGGCGCATTAGATTTGTAAAATCTTTGACCACATGTATTTATTTGTTATGCCGAATCTAACCGTGTATTTAGATTTTTAATTTTGGGTCCAGTTTTCAAATTGGTCTACATTAAGGTCCAAAGGGTCCAAAATTAACTTTGTTTGATTTTAACAAAAATTGAATATATGGGGTTCTTTGATATGCTGAATCTAACCATGTATTTAGATTTTAGATTGTTGGCCCAGTTTTCAAGTTGGTCCAAATTGGGGTCCAAAATTAAACTTTGTTTGATTTCAACAAAAATTGAATATATGGGGTTATTTGATATGCTGAATCTAACCATGTATTTAGATTTTTTATTTGTGGGCCCGCTATCAAATTGGTTCATATTGAGGTCAAAAGGGTACAAAATTAAACTTTGTTTGATTTCATCAAAAATTGAATTATTGGGGTTCTTTGATATTCCAAATCTAACCGTGTATTTAGTTTTTTAATTTTGGGTCCTGTTTTTTAAATTGGTCTACATTAAGGTCCAAAGGGTCCAAAATTAAAGTTAGTTTGATTTTAACAAAAATTGAATTCTTGGGGTTCTTTGATATGCTGAATCTAAACATGTGTTTAGATTTTTGATTATGGGCCCAGTTTTCAAGTTTGTCCAAGTTGGGGTCCAAAATTAAACTTTTTTTGATTTCAACAAAAATTGAATATATGGGGTTCTTTGATATGCTGAATCTAACCATGTATTTAGATTTTTTATTTGTGTGCCCCGCTATCAAATTGTTTCATATTGAGGTCAAAAGGGTCCAAAATTAAACTTCGTTTGATTTCATCAAAAATTGAATTATTGGGGTTCTTTGATATTCCAAATCTAACCGTGTATTTAGATTTTTTATTTTGGGTCCCGTTTTTTAAATTGGTCTACATTAAGGTCCAAAGGGTCCAAAATTAAACTTAGTTTGATTTTAACAAAAATTGAATTCTTGGGGTTCTTTGATATGCTGAATCTAAACATGTGTTTCGATTTTTGATTATGGGCCCAGTTTTCAAGTTTGTCCAAGTTGGGGTCCAAAATTAAACTTTGTTTGATTTCAACAAAAATTGAATATATGGGGTTCTTTGATATGCTGAATCTAACCATGTATTTTGATTTTGGACATTGGACCATAATAGGTAAATTAAAAAAAATCAAGTTCTTAGACCACATTCTTTCTGTGTCAGAAACCTATGCTGTGTCAAATATTTAATCACAATCCAAATTCAGAGCTGTATCAAGCTTGAATGTTTTGTCCATACTTGCCCCAACTGTTCAGGGTTCGACCTCTGCGGTCGTATCAAGCTGCGCCCAGCGAAGCATTTTATTAAAATTGGAGTTAACTTTCTTTGTCCATGATTATAGTTGAATCAACTACATCAATACTTTATACAATGCAATGTTTAATTTTGACTTCCACTGATAAAACACAGATCAAGTTGAATTTGGGTAGTGTCACTTTAGCCATTATTGAGTTATGCCCCTTTATAAATCAAAAGATTGCAAAATTTTTAGTTTCCATTCTGTAACTTAAGTTTGCCCCAACCAAACATTATGAAACCTATACACAATATTCATTACCACAAAACTAAGATCAAGTACAAATTTTTTAGTCCCCTACCGATGAAGTCGAAGGGGACTTTAGGTTTGCACTCTGTCCGTCTGTCTGTCCGTCCGTCTGTCCATCCGTCAGTCCGGCAACTCAGCTTTCCACACTTTTTATCTTCGTTCTTGAAGATATTGATTTGATATTTGGTATATAGTTATATCATGACAAGTTATAGATCAAGTTCGAATTATGTTCCAGTCTGATGATTTAGTCCAGAGTTATGGTCCATAAAAAAACTCCATAACTAATGTTAGAGTACTATGTTAAACCATATAATCTGTACAGAGGGAGATAACTCATTTTTTAAAAGACATTCTTTGGTAAATTGTTTGAGGAATTTTGTGGCAGGTTTATATGTTATTTTGTATAAACTAATTTTCTAAATGCTACATATGTATATAATTTTTTTTTTATTAAGTGAAATCCTTTAATTAGATAATAATCTATTTTTATTAAGGTATATATTTCATTACATTACATTGTGTAGATAAAAGTTGTTGACATTTTAATGATAAGTTACAAATCTATATTAGTTTGTGACAAATGAAAGAAAAAATATTTGGAACTATTAATTATATTTGATTGTAATTTGAAAATAGATATACATTGTACTACATCATATCTAATTTTAGAGAACTATTGATCATATCTAATGTTAGAGTGTTATAGGTTTTCCACACTTTTTTTCATCATGCTTGAAGATATTGATTGACAATTGGTATATAGTTTTATCATGACAAGTTACAGATCAAGTTCAAGTTTTTGTTTCGGTCTGATAATTTTGTGCAGAGTTATGGTTCTTGGACTTGAAAAAATTCACTCATATATTCAGTTTTCCACACTGTTTTTAGTCATGCTTGAAGATAGTGACTTGATATTTTCTTTTTGTTTACACCATGACAAGTTATAGAACAAGATAGCATTTTGTTCCAGTAGAATGAATTTTTACCCTGTAGGGGACTATACTCTTAGAATGCTTGTTGTTTCCGTTTTCTAACTTTAGTTTGCCTCAACCAAATGTTATGAAACTTATACACAATGCTTATTACTACATAATACAGGTTAAGTTCGAAATTTGGTGGCAACACTTTTACCATTCTTGAGTTATGTCCCTTTTTAAACATAAAAATTGCTGAATTTTTCGTTTCCGTTCTCTAACTTTAGTTTGTCTCAACCAAATGTTATGAGACTTACAACTGTTCTAGAGTTATGCGTGTTTACAAATAGAAAAATTGCTGAATTTTTAGTTTCTGTTCTCTACTTAAGTTAGCCTCAACCAAATGTTATGAGACTTACACACAATGCTTATTACCACAAAACTTAGATCAAGATCAAATTTGGGTAGCGTCACTTTTACCGTTCTTCAGTTATGTCCCTTTATAACTATATGATATGCAAGCGGGGGCATCATCTGTGTCCACATGTGGACACTATCCACATTTATTTTCTATTAAATTTTTAGGCCATTTTTTTCTATTCTTTATTTTTTGTCCATAAATCTCCATCTTTGTAGTTAAGCACCTTATTACTTTCTATTCTTTATTTTTTTGGCCTATTTTTCTCTAGTCTTTATTTTTTTGGCCCTTTATTCTGTATTTTCCTCCCAATATTCTCTAGTCTATAAAAACTATCCAGACACTTATAGAGATACATATACATACACAGTGTGTTCTTGCACCATGTGCACAAACACATTGTTATAATAAAAATGAAATAAAGGTTTTATTATCTTTTTGTAGGTATGGATTTGGTGAGTACTCATATCCTCTCCACAAAAAAATAGTTAGTTTGCTTTCTCTTTGATCAATATAAAGGAGCTTTGTTTTCCTGGTTAAGATTGAAAAAAATGCTAAGAATCTTTGAACTTGCATTATTTCTTGATAATACAACAAAATATATGTTAATCTGACTTTTGATGGAAGTATATAAAAAAAAGATTTATGGAACAATTCAACTAGACATAGAAATACGTCATTATAGACAAGAGTAGAAGAAATACATATTTGGAAGAATTAATTGATTTTGACACTATATTATGTATATAGTATTTTGTCTTTGGAATGTCTAATTGGAATTGAGTTTAACAACTACAAACCATATACATTACAAAGTGTTTCAAAGTATAAAAATTTGTAAGGGTTCCGCGGAACCCAGTGTCTCGCCTACTTTTGCTGTTAGTTGCAGGCTCAACTAAAATGGGGAAAATTATCAAAAATTTTCCTCTAGATACTATCTTTAGATTGTAAGAAGTTCTGTTCAAGTTTGGTAAAAATCCAAGAAGGTTTAGGAATCTAATAAATGTTTTAAAAACTTAAACTGCAGACTGTACGTAATATTAACTGGAATATAACTAAGTCCATTTATAAGTAATATACGGAAAAACAGGAAATAAATTTTTACAAAATTTCCTTCTAATACTAGCTTTTGATCATAAACAAGCTTCTGTCCAAGTTTGGTACAAATTCAGGATAGTTTAAAAAAGTTATTGAAATTTTGAAAACTTTAACCACAGAGTGAATGTAATGTTAACTGGCAGAAAAACTAAGTCCATTTATGAGTAAAATACGGATAAACATGATTTTTTTTTTTACAAAATTTAGTTCTAGATACTATCTTATGATCATAAACAAGCTTCTCTCCAAGTTTGGTTGAAATCCAGGATAGTTTAAGAAAGTTATTAAAATTTCAATAAACTTTAACCACAGAGTGAATATTTTTGGCTGCCGCCGCTGCCGGAATGTAGGATTGCTATGTCTCGCTTTTGCGACAAAAGTCGCAGGCTCGACAAAAATGAGTCCTAAACAAATGTTTCATTAGGGTAAGAAAATCCAGATGAACATGAAATACTGAAAACCCGCCAGGATATTAAAAATAAACTGAGTTGATTTTAGATTTGAACAATGTTCAATAAAAAATCAACATCTTGTTTTTTTCTCACTAGGATGGGAATCTCAGCTATTAGAGACAGGATTTTTGGCCATTTTTCTATGTCCTGTTTGGAATGTGTCATCAGTGCCTAAACACACACCAACATCCTGGATTGTACTGATGGCATATAGATGGCTTATATTCAGGATAATGATTGGAGCAGTAAAGTATATATTAGTACACTCTAAACAGTAAAGTACAAATGTATATATAAGTACATTCAAAACAGTAAAGTATACATTAGTACACTCTAAACAGTAAAGTATTATTAGTACACTCTAAACAGTAAAGTATACATTAGTACACTCTTAACAGTAAAGTATTATTAGTACACTCTTAACAGTAAAGAATACATTAGTACACTCTTGACATTAAAGAATACATTAGTACACTCTTGACATTAAAGTATACATTAGTACATTCCAAACAGTAAAGGATACATTAGTACACTCTTAACAGTAAAGTATACATTAGTACACTCTAAACAGTAAATTATACATTAGTACACTCTTAACAGTAAAGTATTATTAGTACACACTAAACACAAATATGTATGATGAATTGACACTATGAAAATGCTGACATCTAATACACACAAATACAAACAAGTAATTTATAAAGCTAAGATTAGAATCTCTCAATGACTTTCTTGTAGTAAAAATAAGTAAATTTGTTGATATTGCTAAGGCTGACTGGTTATTTTCATTGTTTTCAACTTTTATTTTGTACTTGCCCATTTAACAACCATATCAGTTTCACCTGCCAAAACATATAAATATCTTCTTTTCTTTTCATTAATACAGTTTGTACATAGTGAGCAGGTAAATGGATGCTTAATATTTTCAGGGTATGATAAAGATTAGGGGAGATCAATGTTGGAGGGATTTAACATGTATGAATTATCACTATGAGGTTAGTATTGTTGGAAGTTCTGGGAGATCAATGTTGGAGGAATTTAACCTGTATGAATTATCATTATGAGGTCAGTATTGTCAAATGATTGTTGGAAGTTTTGGTACACACAAGTAGGTATAACAGTTTGAATTCAATGTCAATACCGGTACCTTCATTTAAACTTTTAACATCATTAAACAGATGACCAAAAACTCTCAAAAGGTTAAAAGTTACAATGTATATTTTATAGGTTCTCACCAGAAATTTTTCTATCATTTAAAGTCATTAAGAAATGACATAAACAAACTTGTAATCATTTGTACATCAGTGATATATATTGGGGTACTGTTAAAGTTTGATAAAATATTTTTCTTTCCAGACCCAGCCAGTGCCGAACCCAATAAGTTACTTTATGCACCAGTCTCCAGAAGTTTTCCACAAGTTTGAGACAATAACAAATCACTTTGTAGAGTTGATTGTTCCTTTTCTGCTGTTTTTACCACGCCCATTACGTATGGTGGGAGGAGCTATACAGATACTGTTTCAGGTTTGTGATTTTTAAAGCAATTGCTTTTATACCTGCGATTTCGTTCTTGAGGTGTTTAAACAAAATATTGAATCATTTCAGTTGTTGATTTAATACTGAAAATTTGACTGAATTATCTCTTATACAGTTTTATATTGTTTAATTTGTGTTTCTTTTTGAAAGTGGTCAAGTTGCTCTTGTTCATTCTTAAAATTATCGTTCATTCATGAAATTATCGTAAAATCACTACGCACGTTATAGTAATGTAATCTTATCTCGCATTATTTGTTTTTAATTAAAAGTAGCACAGTTTACATGTTCTAATTACTCTTACCATGTTTTTAAAACTTCCATGAAATAATGGGCCTGTTATTTTAATTGCTGTTGATACTGATAGACTCCACTCTGTAAACAAATGATATAATGACAGTGTCAAATGTCATAATAACCCTAATGATTACCTGTAATCTAAAAATAGATAAATATAACTGACCTTGTAATTTTGTTTGTGCAAATAATTTTGCAGAACGAAACCTGTGTTAAAAACACATAACAATAAGTTCGTTTTCCTTTTTTGTCATAATTCCTTAAGATTTATCAATCATCTTATAGATGAAATGGACCTGTCCAAACGTGAAAGACGCCAAGTTAAGATTAAGAGATATTCACAAACAATTTGGAGTTTACTTGTTTCATAGATTGAAAAAAAAGTTCGTCCATTTGGATATCAAAAATGGGAATGCATCACAAATGATGAAACCGATATCCTCGTCTTTCCAGTGCCGCAGTGGACGAGTCTACTTTGTTTTTGACACAGTTCTTGTAAAGTCGATGTGTTTGCAATTTTATTTCACTTGTTTTCGAGCTTGAAGTTCATTATTCACCACGTGTCCTGAAAGTTGATAAATATTAAAGCGATGTGGAGCTGTTTTTTCTTGTTCGTGAAATGACGATTTCATTTCATGTTTGTCCGTGATACACCCCTTTTTCGAAATTATATGACGATGGCACATATCAGCTGAGCAATAATGTTTGGGACTTAGATTTAAGAAATGATGACAAAGTAGCAGTATTAAAATATTGTTAGTAAACTGAAATATATATATATATTTTTTACATGTTTATGTCTTGTAAGATATTTTTTTTCTTTTTTTTTTCCGACCGACCGGACTCTTTCATGTGAAATTTCCGTAAACCAACAAATTACAAAAGCTCTAGCCTTAGTGATGAAATTGGTAAAGCGTAAGCCAGTTCGCAGCTTAATCGACAGTAAACGTGCATTTCATGAAAATTTCAGAAGCTGGTCCCATCTTCAAAATCTTTAATCCTGTGTATGAATAAATGAGGGGCCTCGGTGGCCAAGTGGTCTAAGTAGTTACTACTGTAATCATTAGCCAGTCAACACTAAGGTTGTGAGTTCGAACCCCACTCGTGTGGGTGCACTCGACTCTAATCTTTATTGACTAGGATTGTCAGTTTTCCTATCGAAGGTTGGTGGTTTTCTCCAGGCACTCCGGCTTCCTCCACCAATAAAAACTGGCCGGCACAAAATAGCCATAAAGCGGTGCTTAAAAGTGGCGTTAAAACACCAAAAAATCAAATCAAATCAAATGAATAAATGATTCTTATTATGAAAAAAACTAGTTCGGTAGAACATTCGCGTCACGAAAGTTGATATCTTCAACTGAATGGTTAAATTTAAACCAATTATGATATAATTGAAATTAAAGCAATAAAGATAATGAATCCTGGAAATTATTGCCCAGTTATAAATACTATCTATTATGATTTCTTCGTGAGTTATATGTTTACGCAAATATATTTGCCTCCACCGTTAACCTGGAAAAACGTGTTGTACCCCTGGGAAATGTAAAACATGGTAAAAATGACTTTCTGCTGGATGACTCTTTTATTGATATAAAGTTAAAACATCCTTACTTCTCACTAGACAAGACTCCTGTCAGGTTTAATTCTTATACATGTGGATGAAAAATAAAAGTCACAAAAACATTAACTTGACAACAATTGCTTTAACAGCTTTTAAGGCTTAGATTTTTAATGCTTAGCAGTGATCTAAAGTCAGACTATCCTCTATGTAATTATTTTATTGCATGATTGTTTATTTTTATATTTATGTAAAGGTATTGTCTTCAGTAAATAGATGTTTATCCCATTTCTGAATAACTGAAAGTAGTATGTGCTTTTACTTTAGTGTTAATGTATTGCAATATTCTCTTTTCAAACAAACAGGCACTTTGGGCAAGGACCCCACATAGATTATTTCTTATGTTAAGTCTTAAATAATTAACATTATAGTCCTTCCCCTCGCCTATATCACCCTAGTCTTTCTGTAATCCTTGTATCACAGCTTTGAGACATGAGCAGACATTGTCAAAATGTCTGAGGAGAAGTTGTGAGCACCGTCATAATGTGTGAGGAGACATTATCTAGCTTACTTTTGTCAAGCCTAACGCTGTCTAAGCGATGAGGAAAAGAACAGTTTAAATACAGAATGAAAAACAGATTATCTGGTTTTCTACGTATGAATATGGTAAAATATCAGCCGCTCGACACAATGTGAAGATTTTTAGCTAGTTTTCTGCACTCACTCGCCAAAAAGGTTCACATTGTGGCTCAAGGCTGATATTTAACGATATCAATGGGTAGAAAACCTGATAATCTATACTTGTAATCAATTAGAATTGATAAGATCTTATAAAAAAAGATTTAAAAAAAATAGAATATTAAAATCTAACTGTTTGTTGAAAATAATACTTAGTTTAATTAAGGCTTGATTTCAGGTTGTCTTGATTATAAGTGGTAACTTAAGCTTTCTCAACTGGCTGACGATAGTACCTAGCTTGGCATGTTTTGATGATGCAAGTTGTGCATGGTTGTTCAGCAACAGTAGGAATGCTATTAAATGGAAAGTTAGAGAAGTAGAAAATGAAATAAAACATACCAAACAACCACCAAGACTTGGTAAGTTTGTATTGAACACAGCAATAGAACTAGAGGGTTGTACACTTGTAAACATATTGAACCCTGCCATATTCTTTATTGTCTGTCCAAAGTCAAGAGTCTGTAATTCAGTTGTTGTCATTGGTTGCATGCTGTCTGTTATTTCTGTTTTTTGTTTATTGTTTGTCATAAATCAGGCTGTTTTTTTTTGTTGCTTGAATTGTTTCCCTTTTTAGCTCACCTGGCCCGAAGGGCCAAGTGAGCTTTTCTCATCACTTCGTGTCTGTCGTCCGTCGTTGTCGTCGTTAGCTTTTTACAAAAATCTTCTCCTCTGAAACCACTGGGCCAAATTTAACCAAACTTGGCCACAATCATCATTAGGGTATCTAGTTTTAAAAATGTGTCCAGTGACCCCGCCAACCAACCAAGATGGCCGCTATGGCTAAAAATAGAACATAGGGGTAAAATGTAGATTTTGACTTATATCTCTGAAACCAAAGCATTTAGAGTAAATCTGACAAAGGGTAAAACTGATTATCAGGTCAAGATCTATCTGCCCTGATATTTTCAGACAAATCTGACAACCTGTTGTTGGGTTGCTGCCCCTGAATTGGTAATTTTAAGGAAATTTTGCAGTTTTTGGTTATTATAGATAGAGATAAACTTTAAACAGTAATAATGTTCAGCAAAGTAAGATCTACAAACAAGTTGTCTTGAATAAAATTGTCAGTCGACCCCTTTAGGAGTTATTGCCCTTAATAGTCAATTTTTAACAATTTTTCGTAAATTGTAATCTTTTACAAAAAATCTTCTTCTCTGAAACTACTGAGACAAATTTAACCATACTTGGCCTTAATCTTTATTAGGGTATCTAGTTTAAAAAATTTGTCGGATGACCCCGCCTTCCAACCATCATGGCCGACTTGGTTAAAAATAGAACATAGGGGTAAAATGCAGTTTTTGATTTATATCTCTGAAACTAAAGCATTTAGAGCAAATCTGATAGGTGGCAAAAACGCTCATCAGATTTAGATTTATCTGCCCTGAAATTTTTAGACGAATCCGACAACCTGTTGTTGGGTTGCTGCCCCTGAGTTAGTAGTTTTACAAACATTTTGCAGTTTTTTGTTATTATCTTAGATATCATTATAATATCTAATATCTAATACTATTAATTATGATTTTAACCTTATTTTACATGATTTCCAAAGCATCAGTAAATACAGGTGAGCGACACAGGCTCTTGAGAACCTCTAGTTTTTCATGTAAGGGCCTTGTATAGGTGACTATGGGTTCTGCTCATTGTTAAAGGATGTATGGAGATCTATAATTGCTTAAATCCACATTGTTGGGACTCTGTTGGATAGTTGTCTCATTGGCAATCATACAACTTCTCTTTCTTCTATAAGACTAACATTACATCTTATGACCTATTCAGAGTTAAGAAGTATAAATGTATAATTGCATATTGATTTCTTTAATAGTAGCATTATTTGCAAAATTGTTTCGTTTCATAATTGTTCTGATTATAAGTCAAAACACATTATAATAAGCTGATAATGGCTTAAGTTTTACCAAGGTTTAGCTCTATTCTAGTAAAATATGTGCACAAGAAATTCAGCTTTGTCTATAGTGAAACAAATTCATTTTTACCATTTTTTTTTTCAGTGACAAGAAATATTTTATTGTCAGATTGTAACATGTACTAAGTATATTCTTGTACTATCTGAAATATTTAAGAAATATTGGCATCCAGTAGTCAACCAATCAGTTTATTAGAAGGGAATAATTGTGATTCATAAAAATTGGAGGATATTATAAACAATCATGTAAAATATGTATGAGAAAACAATAGATAAATAAAGCAGCAAAGAAATGACTGTTAAAATGATTATGCTACCATACACATGTATTTAATATCTAACAAGTATATAGTGTTACCCTTATCCTTCATTCCTCAACAAACGGTTATACAGACTTTTTAGCTCACCTGGCCCAAAGGGCCAAGTGAGCTTTTCTCATCACTTGGCGTCCGTCGTCCGTCGTCGCCGTCGTCGTTAGCTTTTTACAAAAATCTTCTCCTCTGAAACCACTGGGCCAAATTTTACCAAACTTGGCCACAATCATTATTAGGGTATCTAGTTTAAAAAATGTGTCCGATGATCCCTCCAGCCAACCAAGATGGCCGCCATGGCTAAAAATAGAACATAGGGGTAAAATGTAGATTTTGGCTTATATCTCTGAAACCAAAGCAATTAGAGTAAATCTGACATAGGGTAAAACTGATTATCAGGTCAAGATCTATCTGCCCTGTAATTTTCAGACAAATCTGACAACCTGTTGTTGGGTTGCTGCCCCTGAATTGGTAATTTTAAGGAAATTTTGCAGTTTTTGGTTATTATCTTGAATATTATTATAGATAGAGATAAACTGTAAACAGCAATAATGTTCAGCAAAGTAAGATCTACAAATTAGTTGTCATGACCAAATTTGTCAGTCGACCCCTTTAGGAGTTATTGCCCTTAAAAAAGTCAATTTTTAACAATTTTTGTAAATTTTTGTAATCTTTTACAAAAATCTTCTTCTCTGAAACTACTGAGACAAATTTAACCATACTTGGCCATAATCATTATTAGGGTATCTAGTTTAAAAAATTTGTCCGATGACCCCGCCTTCCAACCATCATGGCCGACTTGGTTAAAAATAGAACATAGGGGTAAAATGCAGTTTTTGATTTATATCTCTGAAACTAAAGCATTTAGAGCAAATCTGACAGGTGGCAAAAATGTTCATCAGATTTAGATTTATCTGCCCTGAAATTTTCAGACGAATCCGACAACCCGTTGTTGGGTTGCTGCCCCTGAGTTAGTAATTTTACAAAAATTTTGCAGTTTTTTATACGACCGCAAAAATTTTTGCGGTCGTATATTGGTATGACGTTGGCATCGTCGTCCTGCGTCGTCCGAAGACACATTGGTTTTCGCACTCTAACTTTAGTTTAAGTGAATGGATCTCTATGAAATTTTACCATAAGGTTCAATACTACAAAAGGAACGTTGGGATTGATTTTGGGGGTTATGGTACCAACAGTTAAGGAATTAGGGGCCAAAAAGGGGCCAAAAATAAGCATTTTTGTAACTTCCAGACATAACTTGTGTGTTAGTGTATGGATCTCTCTGACATTGTACCACAAGGTTCCATATCACAAAAGGAATGCTGGGATTGATTTTGGGGGTAATTGCCTCAAAATATTAGGAATTAGGGGCAAAAAAAGGGGCAAAAAACAAGCATTTTTCTAGTTTCATGACAATAACTTGTGTGTAAGTGTTTGGATATTTCTGAAATTGTACTGCAAGGTTCCATATCACAAAGGGAAAGCTGGAATTGAGTTTGGGGGTAATTGCCCAAAACATTTAGGAATTGGGGGCCAAAAAGGGGCCAAAAATAAGCATTTTTCTAGTTTCCAGACAATAACTTGTGTTCAAGTGTATGGATCTCTCTGAAATTGTACTGCAAAGTACCATACCTCAAAGGGAAGGCTGGGATTGAGTTTAGGGGTGATGAATCATAAGGGGGTTCAAAAAATTTGGGGGGGGGGGATTTTTTTTTTTTTTTCCTTTTTTTTCTTTTTTTCCTTTTTTTTTTTCTTTTAAAATTTTCCATTTTAAGTTGGTTATTTCTGATTTATATTTAAAAGCAAATAATAATGATATGGTAGGAGATACACACCAAACAGGATGTGTAAATTATTATATAATAAGTATTGTGCAATAGCAAGAAATTTTCAATTGCACAGTATTGCACAATAGCAAGAAATCGTCAATTGCACAGTATTGCGCAATAGCAAGAAATCTTCAATTGCACAGTATTGCGCAATAGCACAATATTGCGCAATAGCAAGAAATTGTCAATTGTGCAGTATTGCGCAATAGCAAGAAATATTCAATTGCACAGTATTGTGCAAAAGAAGATACTTCGTATAAATTGCTTATTTCTTGACCAACTTCAGTGGGGTTTTATTCTTGAATTCTTGGGGTTCTTTAATATGCTGAATCTAACCGTGTATTAAGTTTTTGGATTTTGGGCCCCATTTTTAAATTGGTCCACATTGAGGTCCAAAGGGTCCAAAATTAAACTTTGTTTGATTTCATCAAAAATTGGAATATTGGGGTTCTTAGATATGCCGAATCTAACCCTGTATTTAGATTCTTAATTTTTGGTTCCGTTTTCAAATTGGTCTACATTAAGGTCCAAAGGGTCCAAAATTAAACTAAGTTTGATTTTAACAAAAATTGAATTCTTAGGGTTCTTTGATATGCTGAATCTAAACATGTATTTAGATTTTTGATTATGGGCCCAGTTTTCAAGTTAGTCCAAATCGGGGTCCAATATTAAACTTTGTTTGATTTCAACAAAAATTGAATATATGGGGTTCTTTGATATGCTGAATCTAACCATGTATTTAGATTTTTGATTTTTGGGCCTCGTTATCAACTTTGTCCACATTGAGGTCAAAACGGTCCAAAATTAAACTTTGTTTGATTTCATCAAAAATTGAATTCTTGGGGTTCTTTGATATGCTGAATCTAACCATGTATTTAGATTTTGGATATTGGACCATAATAGGTGAATGTCCAATTTAAAATTTTTAAGTTCTTAGACCACATTCATTCTGTGTCAGAAACCTATGCTGTGTCAAATATTTAATCACAATCCAAATTCAGAGCTGTATCAAGCTTGAATGTTGTGTCTATACTTGCCCCAACTGTTCAGGGTTCGACCTCTGCAGTCGTATCAAGCTGCGCCCTGCGGAGCATTTTATTGTTATTATCTTAGATATCATTATAATATCTAATATCTAATACTATTAATAATGATTTTAACCTTATTTTACATGATTTCCAAAGCATCAGTAAATACAGATGAGCGACACAGGCTCTTGAGAGCCTCTAGTTTGTAAACACCTTCACATATTCAGCTGATTTTAAGTATGTGAGTCTACTGTAATGAATTACAGAATGAGTTTATGTTTGGTTCTGCTCCACTGATTTTTGCTGAAATTACAGGCTTTGGTCTCTGAAAATTTTGTGAAAATAACAGTTATATAGGGACTTTCATTCTCAGATTTCCACTCCTAAAAATGGCTTCAAGCATTTTTTGTGAGCAGGGTCATTCGTATCTAGTTTCAATATTTGTTTCCATTTTTGTGAACATTTATTTGTCAGTTTTATAATTTGTTTCAGGTTGTTATATAAGACGAGTATTTAATTTGAGTTTAGCTGGTTTAATAGCATATCTGAGCATACCTGTTGTACAGAATCTTCTATCACAGAGGCAGGCTATGAATACCTCATTTGATCCTCTTAGATTAGTCAATACATATGGAGCTTTTGGGAGGTAAATTTAGTTGTTTTGATTTATTTTTTGAAGGAAATATATAAAGCCTTTGGGAAGTAAATTCATTTGTTTTTAGTGTCTCGCCTGCGACGAAAGTTGCAGTATGCAAGACATAGGTATTACTATCTGGCGGCTGCGTAAACTATTTGTATAAAGCTTCATATTTCAGAAGGTAGAAGACCTGGATGCTTTATACTTTGTATGCAGATACCTTATGTTATGAAGTTTCCGTCTGTCATATGCCCATTGTCCTTGACCTCATTTTCATGGTTCAGTGACTGCTTGAAAAAAAATTGGCAGTTTTTTGTCATGTGAATTTCTTACTTAATATGAGTACATGTAATAGGATAACTATATTTGGTATATTGGTTCCTTGCAACGTCTACATGTTCGTCAGACAGGGTTAACCTGACCTCGACCTCATTTCATGGATCAGTGATCAAGGTTAAAGTTACCTGATTAGGTCCGTTTCTCAGATACTACAAGCAGCAGGTCAACTATATGTGGTGTAAGGAATGGTTGTAAGGGGTACATGTCAGAGTGGCAGGTTTCATCTGACCTGACCTCATTTTCATGGTTCATTGGTCATTGTAAATTTTTTATACGACCCCAAAAAAATTTTGAGGTCGTATATTGGTATGATGTTGGCGTCGTCGTCGTCCGAAGACACATAGGTTTTCGCACTCTAACTTTAGTTTAAGTGAATGGATCTCTATGAAATTTTACCATAAGGTCCAATACCACAAAAGGAAGGTTGGGATTGATTTTGGGGGTTATGGTACCAACAGTTAAGGAATAAGGGGCCAAAAGGGGCCAAAAATAAGCATTTATGTAACTTCCAGACATAACTTGTGTGTTAGTGTATGGATCTCTCTGACATTGTACCACAAGATTCCATATCACAAAGGGAATGCTGGGATTGATTTTGGGGGTAATTGCCTCAAAATTTTAGGAATAAGGGGCCAAAAAAGGGGCAAAAAACAAGCATTTTTCTAGTTTCATGACAATAACTTGTGTTCAAGTGTATGGATCTCTCTGAAATTGTACTGCAAGGTACCATACCACAAAGGGAAGGCTGGGATTGATTTTGGGGGTAATTGCCTCAAAATTTTCGGAATTAGGGGCCAAAAATGGGCAAAAAACAAGCATTTTTCTAGTTTCAGGACAATAACTTGTGTGTAAGTGCATGGATCTTTATGAAATTGTACTACAAGGTTCCATGTCACAAAGGGAAAGCTGGGTTTGAGTTTGGGGGTAATTGCCCTAAACGTTTAGGAATTTGGGGCCAAAAAGGGGCCAAATAGCAAGCATTTTTCTAGTTTCCAGACAATAACTTGTGTTCAAGTGTATGGATCTCTCTGAAATTGTACTGCAAGGTACCATACCACAAAGGGAAGGCTGGGATTGAATTTTGGGGTGATGAATCATAAGGGGGTTCAAAAAATTGGGGGGGGGTTTCCTTTTTTTTTCTTTAAAATTTTCCATTTTAAATTGGTTATTTCTGATTTATATATAAAAGCAAATAATAATGATATGGTTTGAATAGGTAAATTAATTTTTTTTTAAGTTCTTAGACCAGATTCATTCTGTGTCAGAAACCTATGCTGTGTCAAATATTTAATCACAATCCAAATTCAGTGCTGTATTAAGCTTGAATGTTGTGTCCATACTTGCCCCAACTGTTCAGGGTTCGACCTCTGGGGTCGTATCAAGCTGCACCCAGCGGAGCATTTTATTGTGTTTTGGTCTGTTTTTCAAGTACTGTAAGCAATAGGTCAACTATATTTGGTGTATGGAATGATTGTAAGGTGTACATGTCTGTCTAGCTGGTGTCATCTGACCTTGACCTCATTTTCATGGTTCATTGGTCAATATTAAGTTAATGTGTTTTGTACTGTTTTTCGATTACCATAAGCAATGGGTCAATAATATTTGATGGAATAATTGTAAGGTGTACATGTTTGTGTAACAGTTTTTATCTGACCTTGACCTCATTGTCATGGATCTTTAAGAATGTTAAGTTTATGTGGTACTTGTAGTAAAACCTTTATCTTTAAGACTTTCAACATAAAATCAATGGTCAGTAAAACAGGCGAGACATTTCAGCTTGTGCGCTCTTGTTTATTTTTGGAGTATACATATAGAGTCTTTGGAAGGTAAATTTATTTATGTTTTTTTTTTTGAGGGGGCTGAGTTAAGTTGATTTATTGTTAAGATAATTTGTTCTGATAATCTTCATAGTGGCATGATAGTGCAACTTAAACAAAGAAATACCATGAGCTTAATTTTAAGGATGTCAATGCATAAGTATTTGTTAAACATGTATATATAGATCAGATGTTAATTTTCTGTTGACAGTGTAACAAAAGAAAGAACAGAAGTTATATTTGAAGGAACGTATGACGATCCTCATAGTTCTACAGCTAAATGGGAGGAGTATGAATTTAAATGTAAACCTGGAAATGTAACAAGGACGCCATGTCTCATATCACCTTACCATTATCGTTTGGATTGGCTAATGTGGTTTGCAGCATTTCAGAGCTATCAGAGAAATCCATGGTTAATTCATCTTGGTGTCAAACTTCTAGCAAATGATGAAGACACTACATCATTAATAGAAAATAATCCTTTTGAAGGAAAGTCACCCCCAAGGTAAGATTTAAAAGAGTATTATGTCTTAAAACTAATTGTAATAATCTTTGTTTCCTGTCCATCCATCAATCTGAAACATTTCATTACTCAGACCGTTTGACAGAAAGCTTGTATACTTGATAGGATTATTTGTCATGGTGTTCTCTAGACCATTTGATACCATCAGTTTAATTTCACAACCTTACAGGAGTTTTGGGACTTTGACAATATTTTTTTGAGTATTTAAACATTACGCTTTGAATGCGACTCCTTATGAGACAGTATGACAGAAAGCTCTCATACTTGATAGAATTGTCAGGTGTTTTTGGTCATATTGTACCACCATTTTGATTTGACCAATGTTGAAGAAGGAAAAATCTGGTTATTAAAATGGTGAAGGCTGCTGGGGAACAGTAGCCAAGTTTATTTATGAACCATTCAACCAATGTTTTTTAAAATTGTAATATGATGTTACTGATGACAAAATTGAAGTCAAGTGCGATATTAACGATTTTCACTTTGACCATTCAGGAGTTATTGTCCTTGATATATAGAGTAATTTTAATAGCAGTTACAACAACTTATATGTTGTAAGGAGTTTATGATGGAGAAATAAAAAACATGATAGAAGCTAAGACAACTAGGTGAAAACCCTTGACACACATATTTTTGAATTTTGGCAAATTTGTTATGTTTGGAATATGATTTTGTTGTACACGAGACAAATTGAAAATCTTGTGTAATTCATGAACAGGTAGTGTCTTAAAAGAGAAGGGCTGTTATGGCTGTTCTTTATCTAGAAACTTGCCAGACGGTTTAATTGATGAAGGAAATAGCTAATACATTACAGTAAGATCAACACAACCCTTAGCATCTACTTCAGTGGTACTCTCAATTCTTATAAATAACTGATACACATATATTTAAAGCCTTTTAAGGAATAAAATTTTGTTTGAGGTTTTGGCAATTTGAATACATATGAAACTTACAAATTAATGTTTATCAGAAAATCCAAAGTGGAAAATGGATTATGTTTGCAAAAACCAGAGATCTGTTTTAGAGTATACACAAATAAGATGTGGAATGATTGCCAATGAGATAACTATCCTTCAGAGGTCAAATGACTTAGATGTAAGCAACAATAGGTCACTGTAAGGCCTTTAACAATGAGAAAAATCCATACCATATAGTAACTTATAAAAGGCTTACCATGACAAAATGTAAAACAATTCAAATGAGAAAATCAACTGCCTGATTCATGTACAAAATTAAATTATGAATTTTGTTTTGAAGGGATCCCTTATTAAATACAAGATAAAGGTTTTAAAGATTATTGGGTCTTTTTTTCAGATTTATAAGAGCAGAACATTACAGATACATATTTACCAAAATTAACAGCAAAGAGGCGAACGCTGGAAAATGGTGGAAACGAACAAAAGTTGGAAGTTATCTACCCCCTATATCATTAGATTCTGTTAAAGATTTTATGAAACAAATGGATTACACCATGCCAAGAATAAGAAAGATGAGGAAGCATTAAGAACTGAAAAAATAAAAAAAAAATTTGATAGAGGTTTATTTCTTTTTACATTAAAATTATTGAGGTCTGAATGAATAGACACATGTTTATTTAATGTTAGGTTTAGACTTAATCTAGGTACATTTAAATATTTGTCACACATTATTTTCATGTTGATTGAATTAGTGCTTTTATTTTTTGTTGTCACATGTAACTTGCATTTTTTTTTTACAAATAACTTGTTTTTTATTAGTTTAAAGCTTTCTGTTAGATATATGTACAGTGAACCACGTGATGCATTTTCATTTTTTTTTCAAATGACTAAATGGAAATATGGGTTATATTTCAATAAGAAAACAACACAATGATGGAAAAAAAAACCAAACAAAATAAATCAAAAGACACCCACAAGACAACATACAATTATTTCCTGTTAATATAATTTTCGTCACATTTTTATCAACAAGTTATTACCATCTATGTGATGGAGTTCACAACTTATCAGACAAAAGTTATAGAATGGATGAGTATTTGTAATTTTCATGACCTATAATTGTAATTGTTAAATAGTAAAATACTTATAAACACATATCTATTTATAAAACAACTTTTTCCCTTATTATAAAAATTCAAAAATCTTTTGAAATCATCCTGAGATATTATGGCATTTTACGTGATATATACAAAGCATTTTCTTCATCCTCGCATTCAAAGTACAATTCTTGTGATTTTTTGTTATTTTTCCTCCAAAAATTCAATTCATTTACATAATGGTTCTATCTCAATTAATGAGGGGCCATGGTGGTTGAGTGGTCTTAGTAGGTCCATTACTGTATCACTAGCCTGTCAACACTGAGGTTGTGAGTTCGAATCTCGCACTTGGTAGGTGCGTTCGACTCAAATCTTAATTGACAAGGATTGTCTGTTTTCCTGACAAAGGTCGGTAGTTCTCTCCAGCTTCCTCCACCAATAAAATTAAAAAACGGAATTACAAAATAGCCAATAGTGCTGAAAGTGGCTTTAATCGCCAATCAATCAATCAATGAACTCTTTTTTTTTTTTAAAGAAGTAAAATATTTTAATTGATCTCGGTTCTCCATTTACTACACATAGAATTCATCAGTAAATTATGTATCAGGATAAATAGGGCAGATCCATTAACTTGTTGCTAACACAATAGTTGGGAAAGTCAACATTGCCTTTTCGCAAATATTCAGATGATATTTTTTTTCAAGGGGTTCGAAAGTTTCAGTAGATTTTATTGTTATAACAGTTGAAATTTGTTAGATTGAATCTCATGCATTTGAATAGGTATAATTATAATACATGTTAGTATGAGTACCAGGGAGAATGGTTTTGAAATTTTATTTTATTTTAAATTAAGCTTTTTTTGAAAATTATTTTGGTGAAGGTCCTTTATCCAAAGAAAAAAAATATTAAAAAATATAAAGTCTGATTTACTCAGAAGTTCACTATATAAAGTGGTAAATTTTATAATGTGTTAAAGGATTTTTGTTTTTTTAGGGGGAGTTTTTTTCACACTGAATATGCCAACATTTCTATGCAGTACTGTTTTTATGGTATATTGTTTTGACGTTTTTGACAAGTAAGTTGGAATCTGGGAAAACAGAATTGTTAAAACTTCTAAAATTACATTCCTTGACACATATTTATGTTTTGAATAAGCAGTTGTAGTAAACTATTGATATGCAATTAAAAACAGATAGTGAGCATTTATTTGTAAAATTTGTGTGAACACAGTCCTTCATAGTTATTTCTATTTTAATGTTAACTCTTCTAATTCATATTGTTCAAGCCTTAAGATAATCAACCTTTTGAATATTGCATGATATAGACATATATTGTGGAATTTATGTTTAAAAAATGTCTGTTCTTGCATTCCAACATGTAATAGAATTAAAATGATTAATTTCATATTTTTTACTGATTACGCCAGCTTTGAATGTGTATCACAGATCTCATTTTAATTTTATTCAATCAAGCGAATTATACAGCAGTATGCCAGTAAAGAAAAATTTAAGAAAAGTTATTAAAACATCTAATGAGAGAATTCTTTAAAAAAAGTTCTTATTGGCTATTATTCTTTTTTCAACGTTCTTCTCTCATCATCAGAGTGTTGCTTAACATTATTAGGTGATTCTAAAAGTTAGCCTTGGTGCTGAATACTGATATTTTGTCTTCCCTCAATGAGAGAGTTTACTTCAGAAATGAATACAGCTGCTGAGCAAGCTCTTTTAGACAATGTGTAGTTCATATGTTGTAAAAGTCTTCTGTTTAAGTTATAATTTTCCTATTTACTTTAATTAGTTTCAACAGATACTTAGTTCTCTCATCCATAAAAAAATATTAGCAAAAGTACAGAACTTCAATGTAAATTCAAAAACAGGGAAGCCCTTCAAACCTGACAAAATCAAATGCTTGACCATATCAACCAAGGGAACGAATGAAAAAACAACTGTCATATTCTTTATTTTGTAAAGTCATTTTTCCAAAGAGGGTATAAATGATCTAGTAAAAACTTCATAACCTTGATTAAGTTGCCCTTGGAACAATTAGTTTGACAAAATTTTTATTTGTCAAAGATTTTGTTGTTTGATGGTTTCAGATGCTCAAATTAGTGATCAGTAAGGTGTATGTGATAGACAACATTTGAACAGCAGCAAAAATAGAATACAGCGACTCACTTCAGTCGATGGATGTTTACATGTTCATGCACAGATAACAAAAAGCTTTATTAGTCTATACAAAATAGAAAAAGCGAGATGTTCTATTGCATTCGTATTGTTCAATGGCCTTGAAAACTAAGACAATCAGAGGTATTAACAAATGCAGGGAGTTCTTGTGGAAGAATGATTCCGTATATTAATGATATTGGATGTTTAGTTATTTACTGCAATGTTAAAAACAAAAACAGTCAGCCCAATACATGCAAGGACAACCAGAGACATACATATATACCTATGGATTTATATGTCTCTGGGACAACTGAAACTGACCAGTAAATCATATTCCAAAAACATCTACAAGTGCAATGACAGACTGGAATAAGTTCAGAAAACAGATTTCTGGATAAAAATCCCCGTAACATTAAACTGGGATAGTAGCGAAACATGTGCACATCGACCTGATGAGTCTAGCCCCTTTTGCATTGTTTTTACAGTTTTTGTCGAGCCTGCGACTTTTGTCGCAGAAAGCTCGACATAGGGATAGTGATCCAGCAGCAGCGGCGTTAGCTAACTTCTTAAAAGCTTTATATTTTAGAAGGTTGAAGATCTGGATGCTTCATACTTTGTATATGGATGCCTCATGTTACGAAGTTTCCGTCAGTCAGATGTCCAATGTCCTTGACCTCATTTTTATGGTTCAATGACTACTTGAAAAAAAAGTTAAGATTTTTTGTAATGTTAAATTCTCTCTTATTATAAGTAATAGGATAACTATATTTGGTATGTGCGTACCTTGCAAGTCCTCAGAGTTAGACAGTTTTCACTTGACCTCGACCTCATTTCATGGATCAGTGAACAAGGTTAAGTTTTGGTGGTCAAGTCCATATCTCAGATACTATAAGCAATAGGTCTAGTATATTCGGTGTATGGAAGGACTGTAAGGTGTACATGTCCAACTGGCAGGTGTCATCTGACCTTGACCTCATTTTCATGGTTCAGTGGTTATAGTAAAGTTTTTGTGTTTTGGTCTGTTTTTCTTAAACTGTATGCAATAGGTCTACTATATTTGGTGTATGGAAGAATTGTTAGCTGTACATGCCTGCCTAGCATGGTTCATCTGACCTTGACCTCATTTTCATGGTTCATTGGTCAATGTTTAGTTTACTTGGTTAATGTTAAGTTTATGTGACAGTTGTAATAAAGCTTTATATTTAGGACTATCAACATAATATCAATGATTAGTAAAGAAGGCGAGACATATCAGCGTGTGCACTCTTGTTTCTACCTTTATACCGTTTCAACACTGTTCCACATTTTTACCATAACTCTTTATATTCTTGTCCCAGATCCAGTTATACAGCACTGCAGATGCATCTGTTTTAGCGAAGAGAAGTCTCTGGGATTGTGTAATGTTAGCGCCGCTCAGAGTTAGAAAACAGTAATTATTATGTTTTATTGCCTAGGCAATTGAACATTTAGATCTGACATTTTTGTCGAGCCTTCGACTTTTGTCGAAAAAGCGAGACATAGCGATCCTACATTCCGTCGGCGTCGTCGTCGTCGTCGTCGTCGTCGTCGGCGGCGTCCACAAATATTCACTCTGTGGTTAAAGTTTTTCAAATTTTAATAACTTTCTTAAACTATCCTGGATTTCTACCAAACTTGGACAGAAGCTTGTTTATGATCATAAGATAATATTCAAAAGTAAATTTTGTAAAAAAAAAATTCCATTTTTTCCGTATTTTACTTTTAAATGGACTTAGTTTTTCTGCCAAGAAACATTACATTCACTCTGTGGTTAAAGTTTTTGAAATTTTAATAACTTTCTTAAACTATCCTAGATTTCTACCAAACTTGGAAAGAAGCTTATTTATGATCAAAAGATAGTATCCAGAAGTAAATTTTGTAAAAAAAAATTTTCATTTTTTCCGTATTTTACTTATAAATGGACTTAGTTTTTCTGCCATGAAACATTACATTCACTCTGTGGTTAAAGTTTTTGAAATTTTAATAACTTTCTTAAACTATCCTGGATTTCTACCAAACTTGGAAAGAAGCTTGTTTATGATCAAAAGATAGTATCCAGAAGTAAATTTTGTAAAAAAGTAAAAAAAAAAAATCCATTTTTTCCGTATTTTACTTATAAATGGACTTAGTTTTTCTTCCAGTTAACATTACATACAGTCTGCACTTTAAGTTTTTAACACATTTATTAGATTCATAAACTATCCTGGATTTTTACCAAACTTGGACAGAAGCTACTTACAATCAAAAGATAGTATAGAGAGGAATATTATAATTAATTTTTTTCCTCATTTTTGTTGAGCCTGCGATTAACAACAAAAGTAGGCGAGACACTGGGTTCCGCGGAACCCTTACGAATTTTTGTTTAATTTCACACACCTTGCCCGCATTAAAATTGCCATAATTTTTTAGAAAAACTTTTAATTCAGTACCTCTACTATACACATTGTACTTCAGAAGTGCAACACAGTCTATTTTAGTATCTGACATAAACAATCAGCAAACAAAAATATATTACAAATCTGCCAGGTTCATTAAGTCTATTTAAAACCCAAGAATAGACGTTTTCCTCTCATTTATGTCGGAAAGAAAACCAGGGAGTTACTTGAGAAGAGCATTGCACCCTATAATTAAAAATAAATTTCTCACACTAGTTATTCCAACTGACAATAAAGGCTTTGATTTATGAATTTCTGGAGTCAAGTCTATACTCCGGTAGAATTAGAGATCATAATGGTGGTGTTAGTCTTCAGTCACTTCAGCGCCTGCATACGTAGTACTAGTATATATCTCCCAGTTGATACGATATTCTAGGGCTTGCATTTCCTATCATGATTTCCTTGATAGAGGATTGCTACTTAGGAAGCTATTAAACCAAAAGTTCCTAGTGGTGAAGTTGAAATCACCTCTTCGAAAATTTTACGGACGCCATCACGAGTTGACGGACCGTTATGGAATATCTGTTTCAAATGTCGTAACCACAATCCCGTCCACATTTCCCCGAATGTGACATACCAAATTAAGACTTATTATCGAATTTGTTCTTATATGAGCAACACAACGGATCAAACATGTGGAGTAGGGTATGCTTACCCTTCCAGAGCACCTGTGATCCCGGGTTTTGGTGTTGCTCAGTCTTTAATTTTTTTATGTAGTGTTTCGTATACTGTTGTTTTTTGGCCCTTTTCTTTTTTTTTTGACTTCGCGTTGTCAGTTTATTTTTTTACTCGATTTATGAGTTTGAATGTCCCAAAGGTATCTTTCGCCTCTCTTTCACTGTTTCGGTTCTTATACATCCCTCGGACTTCAAATGTTTGGCATTGAGCGTTCCTGATGAAGGTAAATCCAGAAAAGCGCTTCGGACGCATTGAATTATTAAACGTGTTGTTTTCAATTTTTCACAACAGGGATCAAACAAAATAAAGAAACAGATTTGGCGCATAAGAGAATTTACACCTCTACATCTGGCTTGGCACCTGCGACCTTTATAAACTACGACGGAAAATACATATCTATGGCACGCCTGAACCACTTTTATAGATTATCCTAGATTATCTCAGATAAACTAGGATTATCTCAGATAAACTAGGATTATCTCACTATTCTACATTAAGCTCAGATAAACCGGGATTATCTCAGAATTTTAAGATAAACCGGGATTTTCTCAGCTTAATGCATATTTGAGATAATTCATTATATTCCTCACAAAATTAGATAAATAATTAACTGGAGAAAATCCGGGATGATCTGAAAATTCTGAGATAATCCGGAATTATCTGAGAATTTTGAGAAAATCGATTAACTGAAAAAAAGTAGCCAATAGAAAGCCACGACACATTGGAGTAAAATTTCATGGCCATAAGGGATAAGATATAGATACAATGGTGCATCTATACAGATAGAGAAGAATGAAAGATTACGCTCTTACGGGAAAGGTGTTAGAAGTTTTAAATTTCCAAATTTGATAAAAATAACAATTGATTTATTTCGGATGTACATGTATGACAAGTGTATCGATAATAATGAAGATCAGAGGGATCTAGAATTTAGAAGTTTATCTTGAGAGGTTTTTTAAAAGAATTTGAATGTTATATCCGTATTTGTCTTTATGAAGATAGTGAAATATGTTACATAAATCTGGCATCCGCACAATTAACTAGGACAAATAACTAAAATGTTGAAATAAGTTAAGCAAAGTTGAAATACACCATTTCGAAGTTCTAA